ACAGCTCCCACTCCAGGCCTGTTCTTCGGTAATTGCCTCAGCTTTTCAGCTCTGCGTTTATTAACATTCAGCCTATGTGAAGTGTTTGCTATCTGTCCGCTTTATTTTCTTTCTTCCCAGCCGCGTGTTTGTGCCTCGCGGCTCTGCTGGATTCAGGGCCGCCTCTGCCCCTTCCCACGTGTTGCGGAGCACGGCTCCTCTATCGCGTTACTCCCGTGGCTCCCAGCCCTGCTCACCTCCTCTCCCCTTCGCTCAGTGCTTCCACGTAAAACGGCTCGCGCTGCACTTCCACAACCTAAAAGTAAAGACGTATAAGAAACATTGTCTCTACCACTGTCTTCCCGTCCCAGGATGTCCAGATCGTCAGCACGGATGAGAACCAGGTGTTCCTGGCCATCCAGGAATGGTATCAGACGGACACCTACAATCTGTACCAGTCGGATCTGCAGGGTGTGTACTACTCCATCGTGCTGGAGAACGTGCGCAGCACCAGGCAGCCGGAGGAGAATGTGCTCATCGACATCCTGGAGGTGAGCTGCCCCAATCCGCCCTGCGCTCATTACCATTTGAGTATTTTATTCCCCACTCTCACGCTCATTACCATTTCAGTATTTCATTCCCACTCTCACGCACATTACCATTTCAGTACTTCATTCCCCACTCTCACGCTCATTACCATTTCAGTATTTCATTCCCCACTCTCATGCTCATTACCATTTCAGTACTTCATTCCCACTCTCACGCACATTACCATTTCAGTACTTCATTCCCCACTCTCACGCTCATTACCATTTCAGTATTTCATTCCCCACTCTCACGCTCATTACCATTTCAGTACTTCATTCCCCATTCTCATGCTCATTACCATTTCAGTATTTCATTCCCCACCCTCACGCTCGTTACCATTTCAGTATTTCATTCTCCGCTCTCACGCTCTGCTCGTGCTTTGCTTGCCAGACGCTTTTATAAAACTGCGGTTTTCTTTCTTGGCAAAGATGGACCCCCCCCCCACCCCATAAATATGACCGGCAACATTGCCCCCTACCCCAGCTCAGACCCATCTACCCCACGTGAGACTCAGACTTCATCTCCTTTTACTTCATTTTGGCTCCTGTCTAACAGCTCGTCTCTGCACCAACTCGCATAGTGTAAAACGTCCACATCAGCCGAGTCCAAAACACACAGTCTCTGTTTGTTTTTACATTGTTTGCCTAGAGGACTGAAAATGTTGCTTTAAGACTGAATCAAATACCAGAGCTCTTTTAAGAACTCTTTGGAAGTCTATCAGCCATCTCAGTTACTCTCTCTCTCTCTGTCATATAGACACATGTATAAGTGGCCACTTTATTAGGTAGACCTATCTGGGACCAGGTACCGAAATCCTTTCTATGCAGTATCTTTGCACTTGCGGCCTTCTTGTTAGCTGTACCAAGCCTGGCTCTTCTCCTCTGACCTAACAGGGTGTTTTGTGTCAAGTTGCAACAGAAATGCCCCTGACTGTATGTTTTTTGTTCAGCACATGATTCTCTGTAATTTCTGGACACTGTAGTGTATGAGAATCCCAGGAGGGCGGCTGTTCCTGAGATGCTGGAATCGCCATTTCTGGCACCAATAATCACACGGCGTTCATAAGCAAGCAGGGGCAGAAGTGGGTAGTTCAGGTCCAGAAAGTAAAAATCCAAATCAAGATTTTGTTTCAACCAAAAGATCTTGTTCTGCATTTTTACTTTCTGGACCTGAATTATCCACCACTGACCAGAGGTGCCTAATAAAGTGGCCACTGAGGGTATATATGTAGGTACGTATTGTGCATGTATAATGTCAGGTCTTTTCCAAATGTCAATGTCCAAATGCTCCATTGTTCCATCCATTGGCAATTAACTCTGTTCTTTCTGTTCTCTTTGAATATTTTTCTTAAACTCCGGTTATGTGTGTTTGTGTGTGATAAATAATACTTTTTTTACAGGAATTAATTAAGCAAACATCACCAAAAGTATTTAAGCTTCTGAGTGGAAGATTACATTAGAAGAGAAACATCCTATTGCAGTAATTAATTCCAGCTCATTTGCATAGCTGAGTAGCTACCAGTTCAGGATGTTGTTTCTTCAGTTTAAGACATATTATATCTGCCAGACTTTCTTCGCATTTAGAGAAGGACACCTTGAATTTGTTTTTAATGTGTTTTTTTTTTTTGGTCGACTCTCATAATGTGATTAATTACTATGAAATTATAGGCCAGACACATAGTCACATCATCACTAAAGTATAAGACACCCAGAAGGCTTCAGCAAATATATTATTCATTATTCTCCGTGCCAGTTGCAACAACATATCAGGAACAGCAATTAGTGTCCAGCACCCTGTCTTGCTGTCTCACAATCAGCTTGAATGACAATGTCTGCAAGCTTATTTTGCTGCTGTGTGTTAACATACATGTTGCTACATGACATAAGTGTAGAAGACTGTACAAGCCTGACAAGAGTCAGGTAATGAATGCACACGAGGCTCGCTTATAGGCCAGCCGGAGTTACGCAGTGGTAGTGCTGAATGCACACGAGGCTCGCTTATAGGCCAGCCGGAGTTACGCAGTGGTAGTGCTGAATGCACACGAGGCTCGCTTATAGGCCAGCCGGAGTTACGCAGTGGTAGTGCTGAATGCACACGAGGCTCGCTTATAGGCCAGCCGGAGTTACGCAGTGGTAGTGCTGAATGCACACGAGGCTCGCTTATAGGCCAGCCGGAGTTACGCAGTGGTAGTGCTATAGTATAAAGTGGTAGAGCTCAGTACTGGCATTTGATGCATAGTTGAGCTTTTAGGGCTGGAAAACAGGATGGTATGCTGTGGTCCTAGCAGATGTTGGCAGCGTGACTTATCAGTGGGTTCAAAGGCATAGAATGAGCGACCCCTGGAGGGCGATTCGGGCTGGTAAGGATTGTGAAACGTCTGGCTGACACCGAGCGGATCAGTCTGGCAGGGCTGTCGTGGCTGATGATGTCCTGTGGATAATGAGGCCCCAAGAGTTTTGCCTAAACCAGGGTCATGTCTTCGACTCTGGCTGCAAAACCGTTAGCCGGTGGAGGGCGATCAGACAAGGGACACAGTACATCTGAGCTGGAAGTTAGAGATTTTTTTAAATCCTGCTCCCACTCAGACCCGCCGCTCTGATCGTGCCCACCTGTCATGTTCCTAATATTCCCCCGATTATTCCCTTCCCCTACCACCTACACTGTTTACTTTATTAAGGTATCTATTTCATGTTCTGCCTACTCTTATGCCAAGAAATTAGCATACAAAATTTAAAAAATAAATATTTGCCCTAATTATATAAAAATATCTTCATCTTTGCAAGAGCAAGACAGACCTAAACCACTGTTTAGAATGGATTTTTAATGAAAGTTGTGAGACATCAAATTATGTACAGCAATGTGGCCCAACATGATAGAGCTTGCTTTTAACTGTTTTTCATTCCATCAGCATTAGATCTTTCCACATACTCCCGAGTTTGTACATTTGAATCATGTTTTTACAATGAAAGAAAGTCTTCCATGAAGACCCAGATAGAGCACAGGACCTTCTGAAGGACTCCCATCTACATCGCCGCCAGGAGTCGACATCAGCTTGACGGCGCCTAATAATAATGGTCTTCTTCAGAACTTCTGAAAACATTGTTTCTGCGATATTTCCATTGGGTCCCACAGGTCCTATAGGGGTTTGCAAGACAGTGCTAAACCGAGTGAACTATGTTTTAGATTATTTTGAAACGGTCAGGTAGAAGAGTAGCAGCTGTGCAGACAAGAGAGAACTGAAGTTTCTTGGAAAGGGTCATGAGGAACTGGCGAATACCTCAAATGTACTAATGCAGTGTTTCCCAACCCTGTCCTCGGGGACTCATAGCTGGTCCACATTTTCGCTCCCTCCAAGCTCCCTGCCAGACAGTTCACATTTTCGCTCCCTCCCAGCTCCCAGAGCAAAAACTGGGACTGTCTGTGGGTCCCTGAGGATCGGATTGGGAAACACTGGGTTAGGCAGTTGACGAACCCGGCACCCCAGTTCATAGCTATTCCCAAGGCAGAAAGACTGTTTTATCCTTAAGAGACAGTGACATCAAGGTGGATGGAGAGTCCACTAAGAATGAGGATCAGTTCAGGGGTAAAGTATCTTGATAGCTTTGCGGTGATCTCTTTCGGTCTGGATCAGGGCCCTGCTCCCACGAAGATAAGACTTATCCACATTACGTCTCTGTAAAGCTCATCTGTCTTCACTCCCCTCACTCACAGCCTTCCAAAGCTGAGCCTTCTCCAATTCAGTGCCTGCATTAAACTGGAGGAGATATATCACTTCAATAGACGTGTTTTCCTTAGTGTTTACCTCTGTCGGCACAATTTGAGAGCCACGTTTTTTTGCCTCTGAATGTTCTTTGAAGCCCCTGCCACAGAGTAAATGGATGTTCTGCTTTGAATGAAATCAAGCTTCACAATGAAATCTCATTCAGTCAGCACACATGGAAGAAAGTCATATGTAAGGGTTTTTTCTTTATTTGCCCCTTTTCACATTTCTGCACAGCTACATTTTTGGTTTATAGACTCCATGTCCTTCTGCGCCTATTAGCTTTTCAAATCAGTAATAAAATATAAAGTGACCAGTTCCTTCTCAGTTTGCCTTTGGATTCGATTATGTCAGATTATAAAAGGACTTCTGTGTCCACTAGATTCTCATGTTACTCTTGCTGATACTTTGGATTGACCCATGTCGGTGAAGTCATTCACAAAATGAATCTACTAAAGACAGGGGTGGAAAGTTCAGGTCCACAAAGTACAAATCCAGACCAAGGTTTTGTTTTAACCAACCAGTTGAGCATAAAGAGTCACAGTCACAGAGTACACAACTGGTCAACTGTGTCAATTCCTTTTTAGGTCCGTGGAATCAAGGGAGTCTTCCTGGCCAATCAGAAGGCGGATGGGAAAGTGACAACGCTGATCACCTATAACAAAGGACGGGACTGGGACTTCTTGACTCCCCCAGCCACTGACATGAATGGCAAGCTGGTCAACTGCAAGCCGGTAAGGTTGAGCTGTAAACACCGCCGGCACGCTATTCTGACCTTACCTCATGGTCCATTGCACTTTCAGAAACAGACACACGCTTGAGCGTGCGTCCACGCTCTCCTCCTTCAACAGCTTGCGTCTGAAGTGCCACAAGACGAACAGACAGCTCTCTGGAAAATTCTATGCAACAACGGCAGAGGAACCATCTGCTTACGACTTCCTTGTTAGCCGCAGGTCATGGACTGAGCCCTTTGAATGAGTAATTAAGCACATGCACCGTTTTTGATAGTCTGCGCAAAGAGGGAGAGCAGATGGAGGAGGGAGAGACTGCGGTCGCTTCTAATAAGCCAGGACAACATTCAGACGCTGATGTAAAACTTAGGATGATCTATGGAACCTCTTCGTCTAATGAGCTGCTACGACAGTGAGAGGCAGACAAATGGAGTCAGCCATAGACATGTGTTGATGCTTCAACCTTGGCGTTGTTTGCGGTCATTCAAGGGGGTCAGCAAATTAATGTCTGTGAGGTCTCTAAAGGGCACCTATGTGCCCAATACACACAGCCCTGCACTAAACACTCTTATTAAGTCACACAGTTCCACTAATCAAGGACACTGGAGAACATTATTTTCATAGCATCAGCTTATTGTTCTTTTACACATTTATTCACTGTAGAGAATCACAATGTGCATTTTTCTCCAGTGTCTGCCTTCATGAGCTTCGAATCAACTTTGAAGCAAATTTGTCACTCCAGCTTTCTCATCCAAAGCTCATTTTGCTAGTGATTCTGCCACCTACTGGCTGGAATGACTTACTGATAGTGAGTCACACTTACCATGGGCCTATGTTCCAGGAAAGAGATGGAATGACTCCAGATTCTGTTTCTTGTATCTCGTTTCTTGTGGGAACAGAAGATCATTGCATGCTACCATCCTAAAGGCTGGGTTTTTAATTAGACTTGAAGTTTCACTTGGTCCAGGCTCTAACCCAGTCCATCAGGGCATGATGAGCTCATATGAACATCAGACACTTTATAAATCACTCTGGTGGCCTGTCCGTTCTGACTTTCTTGCTCGGACTTGACAGTGAGAGAGCTTGTTTTATGGAGAAGTACCCAGGTTAAAAGCTCATAGACAAGACGGGACTGCAGAATGACCTAACGACCACTTTTCATACCAAAATACAGGTCTTTATTTGGACCAATAGCTGGTATTTTACTTCCTCTAAGAGGAAGTAAGAGACTATATTCATAGCCATATACCCACCTTTTACTTAAGCACCTCAAACCAGCATGTTATTTAACAGTAGAACAGCAGCAGTAATACAGTCAACATCTCCAGCTTTCCTTACTGCTCCCATATATCATCTCACATAATGTAGTTGCTCTAAATATGCTTGAGTAAGACCTGCAGTTTGTGAGTCTCGATTCCTCCCTCCAGTGACTGAGATGGCTGAGTGGGGGGGCGCTGTCTCCGTGTTTCTCTCCAGCCGGACTGCCACTTGCACCTGCACTTGCGCTGGGCTGACAACCCCTATGTCTCTGGGACCGTCCACACCAAAGACTCCGCCCCCGGGCTCATCATGGGCGCCGGTGAGTCTCCAGGCACACCGTCTCCATGGAAACAACAAAGCCTTCCTGGTTTCTTAAACAAGAGTCCCAAATGCGTATGAGATTACAGGATGTGGACAAACAAATGCTGGGGTGTCGGAGGATTGATTCATTTCAAACAAGTGCAGAACAAGAGATGGCTTAGGAGATGAGTTACCCGGCCACTCCTGGTGCAGTTGCAATACAATATGAGAATAAACATACATATTTATGCTCTCCAGGGCTGACTCTAGCTATAGGTGGAATAGGCAGTAGCTTAGGGCCCCCAAAATACCTGCGTTGGTGAGGAAGTGAAGTCATCATCAGTTTTCTTGGTAAGGGGGCCTCCCAAGAAAAATTCTGTCTAGGGCCCCCTGAAAAGGTAGATTCAGGCAAAGTGCCTTCAACTCAACCTTGGATAATTCTGTGTGAAGATTACAGGCGACGCATGATCTGCTGATGATTTTTCAAGTTTTTAGCATATTGATGGCAGTTTACTTTTTGGTTCCTGGTGTTAATACGCGTGTTCCTGCGTGCTTATCTGGCCCATTTATGAGTTATGGATGTGTGGTTTCAAAAGCATAAGCAAAAAGAGCTGCACTTGTCGCTCACGATGAAACGGGCGACTGCGACAAATTTAATTTTTTATAAACGTAGGCCTCTGTTTTCCCCAAATCCCTTTCATATCTATAGCCATACAGAACAATCCATCAGTGGCCTCTCTGGATTCTCCCTGTCCCGCTAGCTTTTCTTACCCTGCCCAGATCTCCAAAACCCATCATCTCTCAAGGTATAACGTGTGGGGGCGGCTTCTTTGTTAGGCCATCGCTCTGTTTAAAAGAACTCGGAGAGATTACAAAAGATAACAGGATGGAATGAAAACAAATGCTCCTACTTTCGTGATAACTGGGTGCCTGGGCGTGAAATCGTTTTTAATTCAACGGAGTACAATCCTTTCCCTTTTTCGATTTTTAAATCAAACTTTGAACAAAAAAAAAAAAAAAAAACGAGAGCAGATGAAAGAAACTGGTCTTAGCATTGTTCTGGATGCCCTCTACTATCCGGGCTTTTCTGGTTCGCGGTGAACGTATAATTGAGAGGGGGGAGCTTACAGCTGCCTGCCGATGGACTCGGCTGTCAGCATTAGTGACGGAAATCTGTTATTACCTGCCAGACCCTTCAGAGGGAGAGAGGGAGAGAGGGAAAGGGAGGAACTGTGAGGACGGAAAAAAGTCGCTCGTCTGAATACCCGCCTCTGAGTCATGGGTACGGGAAATGGCTCTGGCACATGTACTGTCGCCCCCTGCTGTCCTGCCCATGCATACGCGTCTCATATGTCGGGTCAGGTGCCCTTACTTCAGTAATTCTCTGCAGGAAATCTGGGATCCCAGCTGGTGGAATATAAGGAGGAGATGTACATCACATCGGACTGTGGGAAGTCCTGGAGGCAGGTACGGTGTAACTGCTGCCTCGCAAAGTGGCCTTTTCTGTCTGTTTGGACAAGTCTGATGTCTCTCTCTCTATCCCCTTCGGTTACTTTACCTTCTTCAAGTTTTAGCTGCTGCAGCCATGTTGACCCAGGGAGCCCTATTCATAGAATCGCTCTGTGTCCCGGCACCAAATCTCCCCCCCCCCCACCCCATCCACTGCAGGTGTTTGAAGAGGAGCACCACATCCTCTATCTTGATCACGGAGGCGTGATTGTAGCCATCAAGGACACCTCCATTCCACTCAAAATCCTCAAGTAAGGTTGCCTTCCCTGATTGAGTAATTCCTGGTTGATTTCATAATCTTAGCTGAAGTACCTCGGCACACACTTTCATCCAAAGTGACATATTTTTATAGGGGAAGTTCGGGTTTATCACATCATTTAAGGATACAATAGCAGGTCATATCCTTGAACATGAATCATTAACTTTATTGTCTTAAAGATGCTTGACAGCTCTGCGCACTACTACTGTATATATGAGAGCCATTGACAGCTAGAGTCAAATTCCCTGTGTGTGTGGACATACTTGGCCATTAACGCTGATTCTGATTTTACTTTGGTTCATAAGAGGTCCAGAGGCTACAACTGAACACCATTGGATTAGCACAAGTGACATGCAGGGTCCTGAAGCTCTGAACACGTTATTGTCCATATGCCAGAGATACAGGGGTTGGAGAGTTTTGGCGTTCCCTTTATCGGGCGCTGCAAGGCCACCCGAGTGGGGGCCTGATGCCGGCCCTCTCTGATTAAAGAGCGCCATGTGCGCGTCACGGTATTAAAGCTTCATGACGACTGCAGCTCCTGTCGCCATCTATTTCAGATAATGCTAAATCCCGTGTGTGCTTTAAAAAGAGGAATGACTTTTATCTTTGCTCAAAATAGCAGTATGATGTGCTTATGATCTCCCTGCAGTATCGCTGAGGTTTAAATGGCTAATAAAGGTGATTTTCTCGTTGATGTCCCTGGCAGCTTTAGCAGTCTGTAATGAATACGAATCCGACTTAGGCTCGCTGAGTCAGAAACAGTTGCTTAGCGATCGGATTGGACACGGCCGTTACTGTTATTGAAAAACAAAAAAACTGGCCTTTGTGCATATTTTCGAGCTTTCAATAGATATCATGCTCTGCATGACAAACTGAATGCACGTAGAAATTAGAGACAACATGGACACTAGACAGTCAAAGCAGAGGGCGTGTGAACGTCAGCATTATGATGTCATAAAACATACGGTGGCATGGAACAGAGGCGCACTGGTGAGCTGAGCATCGCAGCAATTTTGTGACACAATCACCCTGCTTCACAGTTTATAGGAAAACAGTCACTTCAGAGAATAAAAGCTATAATTCCCATTGTGTACAGAATGCAGATTAGTAAATCTGCATATTTGGCCTGTTCTTTATGAATAAAAAAAGAACATATTTTACGCACATATAATTTCACCACCATACAGAGTATAACAATACTATAACCCAGTGTTTCCCAATCCAGTCCGCGGGGACCCGCAAGACAGTCCACGTATTTGCTCACACACAGCTCTCTGCCAGACAGTCCACATTTTTGCTCCCTGACATGAGCTGGAAGGGAGCAAAAATGTGCACTGTCTGCCGGTCCGCAAGGACCAGATTGGGAAAAACTGTTCTAGAGTTAGACTCAGCTTACCTTATTCCAGTAACTGATGACCCTACTTGACTTCTTTGAGGAAGCTACAAGTGAAATTGATCACAAAAAGGCCTACGATGTGATCTACTTAGCTTTCCAGAAGGCCTTTGATGTTGTCCCCCACAAACAGCTCTTGCTAAAGCTCAAAGCTGCAGGGATTTTAGGAACTGTAGCAGCTTGAATCGAAAACTGGTTAACAGACAGGAAGCATCGAGTAGTTATTAGAGGCACAATGTCACAGTGGGCCTGTGTTCATAGTGGGGTACCGCAGGGTTCAATTTTAGGACCACTGTTTTTCCTAATTTACATTAATGATATTGACACCAATACTTACAGTAAACTGGTTAAATTTGCAGACGACACCAAGGTGGGTGGTGTAGCAGATACTGATCTAGCAGCAGAGAGGCTACAATGGGATCTGGATTTAATTAGCGATTGGGCTGATACCTGGCACATGAAATTTAACCTAGATGAATGTAAGATAATCCATGCAGGGAGCAGAAAAATAAAGTACAGATATTTTATGGGTCCACTGAAATAAAGGTAGCTGATTACGAGAAAAATCTTGGTGTGTATGTTGATGCTTCCATGTCCCACTCTCGCCAGTGTGGGGAAGCAATAAAAAAGGCCAATAGAATGTTGGGTTTTATCTCTAGGTCTGTGGAGTTCAAGTCAAGGGAGGTTGATGATACATTTATATAATTCCTTGGTAAGACCCCACCTAGAATATTGTGTGCAGGTTTGGTCACCATACCTTAAGAAGGACATTGCTGCCTTAGAAAAGGTGCAACGTAGGGCTGCGAGAATGATTCCTGGTCTTAGAGGAATGTCTTATGAGGAGAGGTTAGCTGAGCTGAATCTGTTTAGCCTCGAGCAAAGGAGACTAAGGGGGGACATGATCCAGGTATAAAAGATTCTAACAAGTCTGGATGCTGTTCAGCCAAATGGCTACTTCAATATTAGTTTAAACACTAGAACTCATGGCCATAAGTGGAAATTAGCGGGAGAACATTTTAAAATTAATTTGAGGAAGCACTTCTTTAGACAGCGTGTAGTTAGAGTATGGAATAGTCTTCCTGCTAGTGTAGCGCAAGCTAAAACTCTGGGTTCCTTTAAATCAGAGCTACAGTATTAGTTAAGTTCTCCCCAAACAAGCTTGATGGGCTGAATGGCCTCCTCTCGTTTGTAAATTTCTGATGTTCTTATGTTCTTATCTGTTGAACATACATCGGCAATTAAAAATCTGTGGAACCTCAGCGGAAATGTCTGTGTTTTCTAAGAGTGTGCTAGATTTTCATAGCATGATATTCAGTGACCTGTGGCCATCAACTGGAGAGAGCTGAACCTGAAGTAGGTTCCACTGAGCTGGGAAGACGCAAAAATGTGGAGTGTCTGTGGCTTAACGAGGACCGGATTGGGAAACACTTCTATAACCAAACGAAAATATGGCAGAAGGTTCTTTATTAGTGAACAGCATAAAGAGCTCAGTTTAGTATGGCACATGAGAATGCTGTGAGTGATTGATAGGCGTGGTCTCACGCTAATTTTGGGTCGCAGGGGGGTCAGGGGGGCGTGGCTTAGAGTTACATCCTGATAGGCCTGTGATGGTTGACCTTCATAGTCCTACAGGAGGGGCTGAGGGGGTGTTGAGTTCAAGGACATTTCTGTTTTTGTGGCGCAGAATAAACTCCAAAACAGTTATGAATAATGTTTATAAATCAATATAAAAATACTGTTTTATTGTTGCAGTTTTTTTATATTTTTCTTCATATGTCTTAGTTTTGACTGTCAGCATTTTGACTCATTCTGCCAAATGATGTGCTTTATTATTTGAGGGCATCTAGATATTAAGCTTGCACTGCATTATACTGCAAATAAATGAGAGAGTGGGGGGGGGGGTACTGCAATTTATGGTTTTAGGTCAGACATGAAACTGTATCCATTGTTGATTCTTGTGGTCATGGAAACAGGCAAGCAATGTTACAGCAATGGGGCTGACTTCTTTTGGTAACACTTTATTTGAGGGGGCACAAGTAACTTAGTAACTCAGTTACTACTCAAGTGCAAATCATGAACAAATACTGCATGAAATATGCGAACCACTATGATTGATTAATGAAGAACAAACATGTGATCAGTACATAACCAACATTTGTTTCTGGTTAATTGATACATTGAGTAAGACTGTACTGCTACATTATTTTTGCCCTATAAAGTAAAGTGTTACCATTCTTTCTATTCTGACATTCTTTGCACTGAAGATCAACAGACCTATTTTGCCTTGTGACATTGGCATCCCATCCAGAGTGTGTCTCTGCTTTGCTCACTATGCCAACTGGACGGATTCCAGGTCCCCCCCTGATATTGGATAAAAGGTTGGAAGATGGATGGCTGGGTAACATTAAACGCAGATGAAGTTTATCTATGCTAATGCAAGCAGCTTTCAAGTCCTGACATGCACATGGCCCCAGCTGTTAGAATTGCAAGTGATCCCCTTGTAGTTAGTGTGAGATGCCCAATCCTCCCCATAGTGTTGAAATGGAAACACCAAGCAGGCCAGCGAGACGAGCACAGAGTGAAGGTGGTGGGGATTACATTGCAGTGTGATCTGGGGGAGATGACTGCGTTGGAACAGGTCTAACAAGAGGAAATACGGAGTTGTTTTGTTAGCATTGGAATTTTACATTTGAATAAGTTTCAGATTAACGGAAAACCGATCCCCGCCCAGGTTCAGCATCGACGAGGGCCGAACGTGGAATGTTCACAACTTCACCAGCACCTCCGTGTTTGTCGATGGCCTCCTGAGTGAGCCTGGGGACGAGACCCTGGTCATGACGTGAGTTTTTCCCAGACCTCCTGCCAGATGTCACCCCGTGGTGGTCCCGTACTGGGGGACGCATTCCAGAGCATTCTAGTAAATATTCATACTAAACATGTCTGTCTCCAACCGTTTGAGTGGAGTGAGACGGTCATGGAGGTATGAGAGTCTGGTGAGTGTATTTACAGGCCTTCTCACTGCTGTCAAAACCACTGTCTTTGACTGGTCTTCTACATTTTCATGGTTCCATGAATCAGGAGCGTCTGACTCACTGGAGCGGCGTTCAAGCTGAACTGCTTCCCAATTAGGTATAGAGGCTGCTGTATATATCCAAATGGCAGGATCCTTTCTCCCATAATTCTCAGTTTGTTTTGACCATTGTGAACTGCTGTGCCGAAAGGGGGGGGCATTTGTCAAGTTCACCTCTAGCGTAAATGAACCCCCTCATCTCTGCTCTGTAAAACCTGTAGGAATGTCACGCCAAAGCTATTCATTCGGTCAGATATGGTATGTGGTCCCATTTCACGTGTCGTCTGGGGTGGGCGTAAAAAGTGAGACGGGGGACAGCAATTTCCTCTGTCGTTAAGCAAAATGGGGGGCGGGCAAATTGGGGCCAGAATTGGCAGTGTTGGGAGAAATCTGTGTCCACAGAGCGGGCCTGTTGGGGAAATGGGCAGTGCTTTCAGAAACAGCTCTTCCAGCCCTGAAATCTACTCCAAAAATGATGTTCTTTTGCAGAAGAATAATGTCCAGAACCATCTTAGTGGATCCAAGAATTAGTGTTGAGCTTTCATTCATGCTGATTGAGAACTAAAGTGTATATCATAGAGAAAGTGGCAAACAGCAGCCTGTCCACTCCTGTGCAAGGCAATTGGTGTATTCAGAGGACCTTTTAGGTTTAGATGTGCCTGACAAGTGACATTCGTTACTTTAATATTTGTAAAAGCCTTTTATTTTCTCAAGAATAACCAAGACAAAGTCGTGAGGGAAAACAGGAGGCCAGGCTTTGAAGTAAGCCTACAAAAGAAACTTACGAAAATCAATGATCCTATTTTTCCAGAACTTCTTCCTACTTTCAGTTTGCATGTTCTCCCCGTGTTCGCCACGTCTCCTCTCACAGGCCAAAGACGGCGGCCCATAGGGGGCGCTGATGTGTGTGTTGTGCCCTGTGCTGGACTGGGTACCCGCCTGGTACAGCCCCATACCCTAAGCTACCTGTCATAGGCTCCACCCTGTTCTCCATATGCAGTTGTAAGATGAATGCATGGATGGACGCGTTCTCCCTCTGAGTTTTCTTGTGTTGTTGTGTAATGTGACTTGCCAGCCCTCTGTCTGTCCTGTCTTAAGGAATTGGTAATATATCTCCACTCAAACTTCCATAATCAGCAGAATGATATTGTAGACACGTGAGAAAGAAAATAATCTGCATGGTCATGGTCTGCAAACGGGTCCTCCAAACGTCCCTGACAATGTAACACATAATTGTGTAAGAAACCTTTATCTCTATATAATACTAAATTATTAGACTGCTAATAAAGACTTTTCTGTTGTCTCCCAAACGCATTACCAGCTATTTGCATTGCATAGGAGTAGATATTTACCCAAATAAAGTGCAGATCTGTCATGGTGTTTGTTTTATCTATCAGTCAGTTATTTCCACTGTTTATTTTTACAGTCTATATGTGATGGTTCTAACCGCCTTTGGAGAGAGTCAGCACTCAGCAGTGAGTCACGCTGAGCTGAGCGTGAGTCTCACATGATAATGCCTGGGCGATACCATCAGCTCACGGGGGCACTGTGAGCAGGGGGTGCCCTGCCTGGGCAATACCATCAGCTCACGGGGGCACTGTTATTTATGCACCCAGTTTTTATTTTAGCAATCAGTGAAATCACAGCTTGTGTAAAAAAATTGACCATTTTTGTCTAAACTGTTCATAGTTCTTTTTTTCAGATTTCCAAAAACTTAAATATATATGGAAGGTACACTTTTTCTTGAGTTATGAATGTATTATGATAAAGGATGACTTTCTAAAAAGATGATAACCATCAGCGATACGTCGTGTAATAATAGTGATGATGATAATAATGATGATGGTAATGTCTGTGTTGATGATGGTAATGTCTGTGTTGATGATGGTAATAATGATGATGGTAATGTCTGTGTTGATGATGATAATAATGATGATGGTAATGTCTGTGTTGATGATGGTGCCCTCCTGCACCCCGCAGTGTGTTCGGCCACATCAGCTATCGCTCTGACTGGGAGCTGGTCAAGGTGGACTTCCGGCAGTCCTTCCCCCGGCAGTGTACCGAGGCCGACTACGACTCCTGGAGACTCACTGATCCGCAGGTATCTAACTCCCCCCCCTTTCCCCAGGGCACACTTACACACCCCTGTCCTTTCATATGAACCAAAAAGCACGCTTCTCTGTCCTCAGGGGGAGCGTTGCATTATGGGTCAGGAGAGGAGCTACCGGAAGAGGAAGGAGTCTGCATTCTGCATCAAGGGCAAGAGCTTCACATCTGCACTGACAGCCAAACCCTGCCAGTGCGCTGAGAGGGACTTTGCCTGGTGAGGCCACTTACCACGGGGCAGCAGACTGAGAATTCACCCCACCCCAAAATTTCCTGGGTGTCTGGATAAAGTTTCATAGACATTTCAGGGGGACTAGAAGCCGTTGCAGTGTGTATAATTCAGGTAGCAATAATAGTGTGTTGTTTAGTGCTCGGCCAGCAGGTGGTGTAGTGGTTAAGGAACTAGCCATCTGCTGATCATGTTTTCAAAAGAAGCCTTGTGTATGATGAGTGTCCCCTCTTCCTCCCACACGTCAGTGACTATGGGTTCGAGCGGGCCCCCAGCCTGAAAGCAGAGGGAGACCGCTGCTTCGCCGACTTCTGGTTCGACCCCGACTCGCCTCCAGAGGACTGCCACCAGGGGCACCGCTACGAATCCAGCACAGGGTAAGGAAGCTGCCGGTCAGGCTAAGGCAGCCGTGCGTCAGTCACAGTGCGGCACGACGGCTGTTTAACTCCAGGCGGGATGTGAGTGTGTGACGCAGGCATCCTAACACACTGCTGGAGTGCCAGAGGGGCTGGAGGGGGGTGGCAATTAAAACAGGAACTGAAACAGGTAACAATATTCACTCTTTTCACAAGAGGGCTTAGCTACACATATGACTTGAGCAGTTATGAGCCAGTAAAGGTTTATATGGTGAAAGGAGTTGCATCTTTAACCCCCCCCCCCC